GGGTCCCCGGAGGCGCTGGCGGCCATTCTCAATCGGCTCTTGTTCCATTGCCTTGGTAACGAAATTTTGCCCGGACTTTCAACAACTAACAGATGTGAAGTAATACTTTACGTGGCGTCACCTGCCCCTGCGTGTATATTCTCATCAGCTGTCCTGGAGTGAGGTGGCATTCTTCAGAGAATCGCCCGCCGCGCATCCCACTAGGTAGTCATTAAAAATATGAATGTGTTCTCACGGAACTGTACATGTAAATACTGAAACGAAAAATATTTTGTCACTTATGTGTACCACGATAAGAAAATATTAGTGCGAAATGCGCACTGTTAACTAAACTGAGATCAGTGAGTTTGTGACCCTCACAGTGCTTGACACATAAAAGTGCTCAGAAGTGACCCCCCCCCGTTTTTAAATTGAGCTATATCATTCACGTGTCAAGAAAAAAATCCACCCTGAAAAGTGGACAATTAGGTAGCTTTTATTAGAATCACAAAACTGTGTAACCATCATTATCTGATTCCAGGACGTTTTGGATATCCAGGAGCTGGTATCAAGGGCTCAAGTAGAAAGCAAATGTTTTGAGAATGATGATGGCAGCAAATGTACAAATGTGCTTGACACAATGGATGTATGTATCGCTCCTAGTTTTTCCGTCCCACCAGCTGCAAGTAACTACTAATTTAACCACTGTTTCGATGGCTTTGCCTATTCTGGACACATTTAGAAGGAGCTCCAGTGGCACAAAGTGTCAGGCTGCTAACCTAAAGGTCAGCGGTTCAGCCCAGCCTGTCTGCTCCCTAAAGCTTTACAGCCTCAGAAACGCTTGGCCCTCTAGGGAGTAAGTACTACTCTGTCCTATAGAGCTGCTATGAGTGGGAGTCAACTTGATGGCAGTGAGTTTGGATTTTTTTTTAAAGTCCATTATATGGATATGCCACATGTTGTTTATGTTTTTCAATTGATGGATATTTGCATTGTAAACATGTTTTGGTTATTTATGAATAATGCTACTTTCAACAATCATACAAGCTTTTGTGTGGATGGGTGTTTTCAGTAATCTTGGCTCCACCTAGGAGTTGAACCGGTGGGTTGTATGATAACTGCATCCAACATTTTGAGGAACTGCCAAATCATTTTCCAACTTGAATGCACCAACCTCCAGCTATGTTTTAATAAATTATCACAAACTCACAGGCTTAAAGAACACAGATTTATTATTATATCGGGGAGGTCAAAATAAATTCCACAGGTCTAAAATCAGATATCAGGAAAGCTATAGTTCTCTTGAGGCTTCAGTAGAGACCCCCTTTCATGTGTTTTCCATTTGGAGAACTGCATTTCTTGGCTTGTTGCCCCTTTTTCCCTCTTCAAAGTGCATTACATGGATCTCTGCTTTTGTTGTTACATCTTTTTTCTAACCCTGGCCCACCTGAATAATGCAGGATAATCTAATGCAAATCCTTAATTGAGTTATACAGCCTAGTCCTATGGGCCATGTGAGGGCCATTTCTGAGGTGGAATGAGAAGTAGGGATTAACTAGAGTTTAGATGTCCTAAAGAGTAATTTGTTGTATGGGTCAGGTTGCCCATACACAAGAGAACAAAAGCCTGCTAGGTCCTGCATCCCCTGATTGTTCCTATGCTTGAGTCCATTGTTGCAGCCACTGTGTCAACACATCTCATTGAGGGCCTTTCTCTTTCTCGATCCCCCCCCTGCCCAGCATGATGTCCTTCTCCAGCCTTGCCTCTAAGGAGCATTCTGGCCGTACTTCTTTCAAGACAAATTTGTTTGTTCCTTTGAGCAGTTTAGCAATTGTGGGGGAAATATTTTCTGTTAATTTTTCATCTAGTTTTATTTGTGTCTGTACTCCGGGCATAAAGAACTAACCATGGGACTGCTTTTTCACATGGGACAAATTTTTACTTTGGGTTCCAGATAGTCACTCCTTTTATTCAGTGAATAAATATTTGCTGACTGTCTACCATGCAAAGGCCATTATGCTAGCTACCATAGGAACTCACATATGAGTGAGGTGGTTTCTGCCTCCAAGAGAATTCACCCTAGTCAAAGAGATAGCTTTAAAATGACAGTGTAATATAAGATCTTAAAATATAGCCACTGTCCTTTTCCCTGATGTTCAGAGAAAAATACATAAATAAAAGCCAGGTCACCTTTCTGATAATAGTTACTTTTCCGATTCATCCCTGAAATGGCCTAGGAAAGGAAGAAACATCAGTGAAGCCAACGAGCCAGAATTCAATGG